AAAACGGCCCTTGAAGTCCCTGTAAAAACATTCAACTTTTTTTTTTTTTTTTTGTAAAATAAGGGGGAGTGGAAATTCTATGATAACCAGGTTTCCTGAGATTTCTTTGCCCAGGTACACCACCCACGTTAGACGTTCCTTGCAGGTAAAAACTCTGCTTGGAAACAGAAAGCTTTGTTTCTACTCTTTCAGAACAGAGAACTTTCCAAGCTTCTCACCGGGAAACTAAAAAGAAGCAGGTTTCTACCTGTCTGGATTGCTGGAGGTGGAGCTTGCCGGGGCAACAACCATGAGGAAACTGGGTTGAAAGTTAAGGAGAACCGTTAGGATTTTTAAAACCAGTTTTCCCTTTGGATGGGACTCAGGTGAGGAAAAAAATATCTGAATTAAAGAGCAGGAGTCACTTGTGATCTCCGCTGAAAGCCTTAAAAGAAGGAAATCAAGAAACAGATAATCCAACGAACCAGCAAAACCTTTTTAGAAGTCTGCAATGGCATGAGATTTATTCTTATCAAAATAAAAACTTGAAGGGGTGCCTGGGTGGCTCCGTGGGTTGAGCCTCTGCCTTCAGCTCAGGTCATGATCTCAGGGTCCTGGGTTCGAGCCCCGCATCGGTCTCTCTGCTTGGCGGGGAGCCTGCTTCCCCCTTCTCTCCCCCTGTCTCTCTGCCTACTTGTGATCTCTGTCAAATAAATAAATAAAAATCTTAAAAAAAATATTAAAAAATAAAAATAAAAACTTGAAGAACAATGCTCTATCAATAATAACAAGAACTGGATACCCTTATGGTGTTATCTTATAAAAACAACAATGACAATACATTCTACCACCATTTCCTACTAAAGTTAAGGACATGATCCACGTGGTTGAGAAGTCAACTGCTTCAGATTGCTAGAAAACGGACATATTAGCTAATTTCTAATTATTGCTTAATTTGTCATTTAAATAAAAATATAGCAGAGCTCCCCCGTAAATTGTGTTTCCACTGCTTTTGTAATTTAAAAAATCACTGTGACTACTGCAGATTTTTCTCTTTAGATTGTTAAGAGACCATTAACTTTCCTGTGAGGATGTGGGACACACTTGAGGTCTCTCCCTGTTGGCACCCGGAGGGCTTTATAAACACCAACCCCTGCGGTAAGGCTTCCCTTAAACTTTTGTTCTGTTCTGGACACATGTATTTATATATATAAACAGATAGCAAGATTTTGAAACTTAAAATTCTGGACTTGTCTCCTCAGAATGAATTTTGCTGCTTTGTGTTCCAGTTTCAAGAAATGGCATTCTTCAAGCTCTGGGGAGCTTTCAGAATTTGATGGCTTTAGGATATTTTACAATGAAGCCTTTGTAATTCCATATAAATGTGACATACATACATGAAAAGTGATTCTGACTGCTTTAGTCCTAATGAGAGGATGTAGCAATTACTGTAACATTTCCCCCTTAGTTAAAACAATCCTCACTTTTAAAAAGTGCAATGAAAACACCAAAGGGTCAAAAAGATAGTTTTGAACTAAAGCGAGTTCTAGGATTTTTGAGGCTTACTCATTTCTGGAAATGAAAAACCCAGCCTCCAAAAATAAGTCGGGATATAGCAATATGCTCTGGAATTTATGTAATTTTGAATCTTTCCAAGTTTTCTTGGGAGCAAGGGGGTGTGTTACTATCCCAGTGCACAGATGGGTAAATAGGAAACAGAGAGATTAATTCACTCAGTGATGGGGCCAAAAAGCAAAACCTAGGTCTCTTTACACAGCGCTGAGCCCTTTTCTTTAGAGGTAAAATATTTAATTGTATTAAAATCTTCACCACCTCAAAACAGGGTCTGAACGGAGCCCCTCAAAGTACTGTTGGTGAAGAGAGGATATGAGCCTGAGTTAATCCAGACTGCCACATGGAAAAGCCATCTGGGAGGGTATTTTGAAATAAACAGATGGAAAAGGAAGAGATCCTTTTGAATGTAGTGTTAAATTTACATTATCCTCCATGAACTTCCACGTAGCCCCCATGTTTATACAATTCATCACTGTATCCTTAGACAATATAGATTAGGAAGCCCAGTGAGCTCACATTTAAAAAAACAAAACAAACAAACAAAAAAACAAAAAAAAGCAAAAAAAAAAAAAAAACCCACAAAAAACACTCCTCTGAACTCTTTCCCTGGAGGGCTTATCTGGAGCGGAGTTTGTAAGACAGCCGGACGATCAGTGAAGACAAACCCAATCCATCTGTGCCTTCTTTGATAGTCCTGATTTTCTTGGGAAAGAATTTAGGATTTCTTGGTGTATTACTGACCAAATTGCCATCAGTTTTGCTCACATCGATAATCTCCACCTATGATTTATTTGTTTCTGCCTCTCTACTTTTGAATAGGCCCCTCATTTCATGGATAAGTGGCTGGGTGGCTCATCCGTTAAGTGGCCCACTTTTGATTTCAGCTCAGGTCATGGTCTCAGGGTCCTGGGATGGAGCCCCACATTGGGCTCCCTGCTCAGCAGGGAGTCTGCTTAGAATTTTCTCTCCCTCTGCCTCTCCCGCTACTCACGTGCACACACGTTCTCTTTCTCCCTCAAATAAGTAAATAAATCTTAAAAAAGAAAAAAAAAGTCTTCCAGGAATTATCCCCTTAAGTAACACATGCCATTCCACTCATCCATCTGTATTCACTATGTGCCTCATATACATTGGCATTCTGTGGTCATTTGTTCAACAAATGTTTAAATGTCTTCTCATGTGTGTTCACTAAGCATCTTCTTTACCCCTGCTGGCTGCATATTAGAATCACTTGGGGAGCTCATAAAAAATAATAATGCTTGGGTCTTTAGATCAAACAATCAGAATCACTGAAGGGTGGAGTCAGTGGTGTGTAGGTAAACTTGCTCGCCAGGGAAAAAAAGGTCCTGATTCATAGTAGTTGTCAGTTTCCATGGGGTAAATACTCACACCACAGTGGATTTTAAGTTACGTCCCTGACTTCACCAAACATACAATTTGAAAGAGATGCTTACACCTGGCTCACATGGACTAACTCCACACACACACACACACACACATACCTCATATTGAAATATATATAATAACCACAAATATATATATAATTTTATATATTTATGTAAATGGACATATTAAATATACAATATACATAAATCTCTAGGTTATTCCAATATGCAGCCAACCTTAAGAACCTCTTAACTAGATTACACATTTCTCAGATGCAATAGCTATTTTTGTTTGCTTTACCTTCCCTACAACACCAAGAATAGAGACAGAATCAATGTCATTAACAGATCACAGGTTATTAATCTATTGTTCGTAGCCAGTGATGCAACACTGAATGCTGTAGTATCCTTTTGCCCAAATGGACTGACTTTTAAATTTACTTCCTCTTGAAGTTCTTACTGATGAAGGATGAGAGGCTAAACATATTTGGAATCGGCTACTTAAAATGTTTTTATTTATATTTTGTTCTGTTAAATACTGTTTATAAACACTCAAACACTGGGTATTTATTTTTAGTACTTCCTACTACTCTTGGCTTTTATGGGGACAGCCGTGAGAATTCTTTTTTCATGTTAACTCTGCTTTTACTCTACTTAAAACACACATGTAATTTTTGACACATTTTTCCTATATGCTTACATGTGTCTAGAAGATTCAATTTTCTTTCAAGCAGCATTTGTAAAGAATACTAGACACATTAAGATTGCTTGGATGGTCTTTCCCAGGCAAGGCACCATTGTCCCAAGAGGACAGGGTGCAAAGTACATTTTAAAAGACCTCCAAGGAAAAGATCCCATGGATATTTAAAAATATATGAAGGAGCTCTACAAAGAACAGAACTTGGTAACCCATGGCACTGGGTAACAACTTACTTTAGCAGGTTTTGTATGATACATTCAGATCTCCTGGATATCTTTTTAAAAAAGATTTATTTATTTATTTTAGCAGGGGAGGGGCAGAGGGAGAGAGACTCTCAAGCAGACTCTGAGCTGAGTGTGGAGACCAACACGGGGCTCAATTCCATGACCCTCAGACCATGACCCTGAGATCATGACCCAAGTGGAAACCAAGAGTCAGAGGCTCAACTGACTGCCACCGAGGTGCACCCCTCCTGGGCACCTCTTTAAACCCAGAAGTGGAGAATAGTGGGGATACTCTGAAATTTTAATAAGAAATCAAATACTTGGCAATCATGCCTAGTTCATTCTTCAGAGTTTTTTCCCTTCAAGATAAACTTCCTCAACAAATATGATTCTTAAGTTTCTATGTATGGATTATATTTAGGACAAGGAACACCAGGCATAAAGAATAAGAGAAGTAAAATTGGTTCTTAATTTTGATGTTGCCAAAACTTCAGAAACTGTGATTCAGCCAATGAGGCAGAACGTGAGGGTTCATCAATCTGCAAAATTGGGACCCCTTAATTTCCCAGTTCCCAGCCTTCTTTGGGGGTATTTTGGGATTATCAAAGGTTATAGAGTAATACAATAAACAGATCGTGTTCCTGTCATAAATCACAATATATTTTTCAGCTAATAAGTTCTGTATCAAGTCAATGGGGAATATGGATAGATAGAAAGAAAGGACAAAATTTGATGTTTAGAGTTGGTGAAATACATGATAAGATTATTAAATATTTGTTTTATATGAGGAACAGAAATTAAAATTTTACTTTTTAAACTATTTATATTTACTTTGTATACTTCAGGCCTTGATTGTCTAGGTTTTTTTTTTTTTTTTTTTTAAGTAATCTCCACATCCAACGTCGTGAGGCTTGAACTTAAAACCATGGAGTCCCATGCACTAGGGACTGAGCTAGCCAGGCAGTTTTTAATGACACAATCTCAGACTCTGTATTCCTGGCTTTGTCTGAAGGACACAACAAATATGCAAGAATACTGTAATGCCGACATAATCAAAACTAGAAAAATTCTAATTAGGATTTAATTTGGGGTCATATCTTTTTCACAGAAGGAAAAATCATAATGACCATCTCTTACCTGAGCAGGCTTCTTCTGAACGACTTGTTGTGGCTAAGGAAGAAACAAAAAGAACTGTTATATTTTAAAGGAAAACATACATAATGAAAATAATCAAGTATACCTGTTTTAAATATAGACACCTGCTGCAAACTAGAGACAAAATATTGGTTCTAAAATTGGATTCACAAGGCTCCTGGGTGACTCAGTGGGTTAAGCCTCTGCCTTTGGCTCAGGTCACGGTCTCAGGGTCCTAGAATCGAACCTGGCATCGGGCTCTCCGCTCGGCGGGGAGCCTGCTTCCTCCTCTCTCTGCTTGCCTCTCTGCCTACTTGTGATCTCTGTCTGTCAAATAAATAAATAAATAAATAAATAAATCTTAAAAAAAAAATTTGGATTCACTGGAGGAGTGAAAGGAGCTATTTTGTTCAAAAACACTCAGCTTTCTTGTTACAATTTACATATTATAAAATTCACCCATAAGGGGTATAATTCAAAGTTTTTTTTTAAGATTTTATTTATTTATTTATCTGACAGAAAGAGACCGTGAAGGAGAGAGAGAGCGAGCAAGCGCACAAGTGGGGGGCGGGCAGCAGAGGGAGAGGGAGAAGAGCCTGCTTCTTCACTGAGCAGGGAGCCTGATACGGGGCTCGATCCCAGGACCCTGGGATCATGACCTGAGCCGAAGGCAGATGGTTAATGACAGAGCCAGCCAGGCACCCCTAATTCAAAGTTTTAGTATATTCAGAGAGTTCTAAAGTCACCATCATAATCTAGTTTTAGAACACTTTCACCTCCTCTCAAAAAAGCCCCATTCCCATTATCAACTACTCCCCACTCCCTCCTACCTTCCTGGTCACCCTCCCATCCCTAACCAACAACTCAGCCTTCTGTCTATATAAATCTGCCTATTCTGGACATTTCATGTAAATGGAATCCTACAATATATTGTCTTTTGTGTCTGGCTTCTCTTATTTGGAACCTATTTTCATCCTGGTCGTAGCTCCCATCCCCACTTCATTTCTCTTTACAACTGAATAACATTCCATTTATGGATATACCACATTTTGTTTATCCACCCGCCAGGTGATGGACATTTGGGTTTTTTTCCCCTGCCATTTGCTATCGTGACTAACGCCATGAACATTTATATATAAGTTTTAGTAGAGACATGTTTTCATTTTGCTTGGGTATAGATAGCTTGGAGTGGAATTTCTGGGTCATACATGTAACTCTATGTTAAACTTTTTAAGGAGTCGCCAGTTCTTCTAAGCAGCTGCACCATTTTACATTTCCACCTGCAATGTATAAGGGTCCCAATTTCTCCATATACTTGTTAACACTTGTTACTGCCTGTCTTTTTAATTATAAACATCTACTGGGTGTGAAGTTCATGTCACTGTGGTTTTGAGTTGATGTTCCCTAATGACAAATGATGTTGAACATCTTTTCATGTGTTTATTGGCAATTTGTAAATCTTCTTTACAGAAATGTCTGTTCAAATCTCTTGCCCATATTAAAGTTTGTTTTTTCATTATTAGGTTGTATGAGTTCTTGCTATGTTCTGGATGTGAGTGTCATTAGAATATGATTTGCAAATGTCTTCTCCCATTCTGTGGGTCTGTTCACTTTCTTGATAGTTTAATTTGCAGACTATTTTGTTATACCTACATTTGTAGCTCTTAAATTATGTACGTAGCACAGAATTTTCTTATCTGAGGAAAGCTTTTCTACCTAGTCTAAATTAATTTTTTAATTGCTTTTTTTTCCTTTTAGAAATTTTTATTTTTTTATTTGACAAACAGATCACAACTAGGCAGACAGGCAGGCAGAGAGAGAGAGGAGGAAGCAGACTCCCCACTGAGCAGAGAGCCCAATGTGGGGCTCGATCCCAGGAACCTGGGATCATGACCTGAGCTGAAGGCAGAAGCTTTAACCCACTGAGCCACCCAGGTGCCCGTAAATTAATTTTTTTAAAGATTTTATTTATTTATTTGACACAGAGAGAGATGATCTCAAGTAGGCAGAGAGGCAGGCAGAGAGAGAGAGGGAAGCAGGTTCCCTGCTGAGCAGAGAGCCCAACGCTGGCCTCGATCCCAGGACCCTGAGACCATGACCTGAGCTGAAGGCAGAGGCTTAACCCTCTGAGCCACCCAGGCGCCCCTAGCCTAAATTAATTTTCCAATAATGATAATATTCGAAAGATATTTAAATTACTCTTGGTTAATGTAAGAGTAGGAGATGAAGCCTGAGCTTTCTGATCAATTACTTCCAGTACTCACTCTCAAGTCTAAACAGGAGCCTTACTTCTTTCATCTACACATGACTAGGACTTGCAAACACAACTGTGCCACTCTGAGGTGGATCGTGACACAGCTTTGTGGCACAAGTGAAAAAAATAAAATCACTACAGTTCTCCCAAATAACAGAAGTTGGGGCAAATTCACCATATCACGGGGCATAGAGCTCCTATTCATTTTCCTTCCTTTCGGAATTTCTATGATGGTATGATGGTCCTATTGCTGACGTATTAAACATGCTGGGGGACCTGGGTGGCTCAGTTGATTAAGCGTCTGCCTTTGTTTCAGGTCATGATTCCAGGGTCTGGGGACTAGACCTGGATCGGGCTCCCTGTTTGGCGGGGAGTCTGCTTCTCTTTCTCCCACTCTCCCTGCTCATGCTCACTCTCTCTCAAATAAATAAAAGAAATCTTGAAAAAAAAAATGTTAGATAAAAATCATCAGAGCTTTTTTTTTTTTTAAGATGAACAAAATAAAAACTTTTTTAAACGACAAAATACTTTTGTTCACTGAAAAGAAAAGCTCTTCCCTTTGACTTTAAATCACAGGGGAGATGACATCATAAAAGCCCAGATTGCGAGATGATATTTTCTCCAGGTGGTCCTGAACCAAGGACGATGAGGACTTCTTGCCTCTTAGGATTCAAAAGTGTGCGCTGAGAGAGTATTCATTTCAAAAGAGTCATTTGTAAGGACAGACCACTTTCTTCCTTCTCTTTCTTCCTGCCGATGACACCTGTACACATGTTTACTCCCAAACCGTTTCAAATCCCCACACATTCTTGCACGCTGACTGGTTTCTACTGCCCAGAAGTTCCCCTCCTCTTTTGGCTGAGGATCCCACGTTCATGGGACTCCTGCACACTGCGGGGCTCAATGAAATCCTCTGAAAGGGCTGCCAGCTCACCCGATTTTCCATGAATTAGGTCCTGACACTTCAATGAGGGGAAAGACAATGTCTGAACCTCAGCCAGCCCTGGCTCCCGGCCTAGTCCGTGTCACAGAACTCCTACCAGCTGCCTTCCACACAGCACTTCATACTTCTCAGACCACCAAACAAACAGACCCTTGAATGCTCTCAGGGCTGGTTGGGGAGGAGGCTGCCAGGATGTTTTCCCAGCCTCTGGTACCCGGTGGCTCCAGACGGTGCCGAGCAAGTTTTTTGTTGTTGTTATTCTGTTTTGTTTTTATTTTTATGAATGGCTTTGGGAGAAAATGCCGACGGAAGCGTAATACTACAGCCATTCATAAAAAGGGAAAGGAAACAAACTCTAGTCTGGAAATCTTCTGGGACACCAAACTTGCGGTCGCAAGTTTCTTATCTTCCTCGGGGCATCTCCTAGCTTAGGCCTAAGTGTTGACACCTAGAAACCAGTTGCCTCTTAGGATTCTTGTCGTCAAGAGCTTGGTTGGCCACTGCACCTCTAGAAGAACTGAAAGGTAGCAACCATGCCTATGACTCGTTAGCGTGGCTGGCAGTCTATTTCCCTGCCTCTTAATACATGAGTCATATTTTATACAAGCGTTTACCATATAAAAACTAAAATCCTTTTTCTTTTAGCAGCTCCCATCCCTTTGTGACCAGGACGGCCCATGCCTTATTATTTCCATTTTTTTTTTTTTTTTTTTTTTTGAGCAGGGAAACCAAGGCATAGGGAATCGAAATCACCTCCCCTAAGATCATTTTCTAAAGCTCAAACAACTTGAGTCTTCTACTTCTTTTAATTGCTGTAAATGCTCCGAGGAAACCCATTTTCTTCCTTTACCTACTGCCCCCCCCCAAAGTCAATTCAAATCCAGATCCGATTCAGGAGAAGCGTGGCTTTGATTTCCACTCCAGTTTCACGTTCTTCTTTGGGATCTTAGGATTCTCCATTGCCACCATGGCCAGAGGAAGACCCTGGCTTCCTGAACAGGGACCAGCTCTGGTTTACAAGGCTGCTGGTAACATATGAATGCCAGAGGACACGAGTTAGGTCCCACAGGTCCAGCTGATCTCCTCTCTACCTCTGGGAGATTCTTCCTTCGTTACCAGCTGTGGAGGCTCTAAAGAAGTCCCCTTTAAAGGCGTGGATTTCATGATGACTGTGCTATTGAACAAGTCGCCAAGTCCTCTAACTTGTTTACTTAGAGGATTCTGATGACTCTGTTTCTACTAAGTCTGTGCATGTGGTAAGTTCATACACTTTAGGCACCTTGTCGACTTGGCATGCAAACTCTTAGCTCACTGAAATTTTGAGTTCCTTATGTTAAGACAGAGTTAAAATTTTCAAAAAGCTTGTCATGCAAATCTCTCACTCAGTTGTTGGATTTCAACATCTCAGACACAGTAGGTAAAAGAGGGCTTTCCAGCCAGAATGAAATAACATCACCATCCAAAACAAAAGGCTCTGAAGTTCAAGTGCTTTGGGTTAATACAATATTAAAATAAGAGCGTGAGAACGAAAAAGAACCCATCACTAGAACATATCACGGAAAGATTTAGGAAAGCCCTTTCTAACCACACGGACTTCAAAGTGTGGCTCTCTGCATATTAATCCTTACATTGGGCAAGTCAGCCAAATTCAAAGTACAATCTTTCTGCAAAAAAATATTGTTAAAGTTTGTACAGAGTGTAGGGTACAGCAGGCTAAGAAAGTGCAAGGGACACAAAAAAGCAAAGCATATACTTTTTGAGTTCTGAGATCCTACAGAGAACCTGTAATTCTCCAAACAAAAGGAAAATAGTGATTGAATTTTTTAATGTCCACAGAGT